TGGCACCCCTTAGCCCAACTTACATAAGGGTAGAAAAAGTTTGATGATGAACATATAGAAATTTCTTCAGAAATTTCTGAAAAAATACTGGTGTACTATGGAATTTTTCCTACAACTCTTCTTTCCCCATCTTGGAAAAAGGAAAGTTGGTTATTTTTCTTTACCCCATGGATACTACAGGGATTTTTTTGAATGTTTGGTGTGTGTACTCTGGAGCTTGAGCAGCATAACACACTGGTGTCCAATTTCCCCTTGAGTAATCTACAGAGCAAGTGTTTCTGGTAATGACAGCTAAAGAGATATCATAGCCACTGAGAATGGCTGGCCTGCCAGCTGTTTTCCAGGACAATGATGCAGACATGGGAAGAGTCAGGATCATTTTATAAAGGATCTTCACCCAAAATGTTTCCTGCCCCTTATAACCTAAGCAGAAATATGCAGAACAATGATAATGGGATATGTGTTGAAAGCAACCAGCTAAAAGAAAAGCATTACCCATGTCAAGGAAGCTGCAGTCAGGTGTTCCTCAGTGGGAGAAGAGTCCTCAGAAAACGTCATGAAGGAACCCACAATAAAAAAGATATTTCGAGCCCAGAAAACAATAATTGCATTAATAGGCCAGTGAAGACATTTTCTTCAATTTCTCTTCTGTTCCCCACATCTAACCCTTTGAACAGCAGAGCACGCAGAAAATTTGCAGAAAGAAGCATGAAGACAAGAGAACCATTGGCACTCTACAGTGTACCCCTAGTTGTGGAGTAGAGGAGCCTAAACTCAAAATGATATTTGGAATTTTGTCTCTTACATAGAGTAGACATTTCAGCTTTTGAATTGGGGGAGGGATACAAGTAAGTGGAAGACATTTTCTTATGTGAGTTTACCAGAAAATCATATGGCCTTCTATAACTAATATCCAAGGATTAAGAAACATCTAGATTTCACTTAAAACAATGAGCTTGAAAGACAATTATTTTTTGCTAAAGCTTGAATCACATTTTGGAATAGTACTTGGCCTTAAACAAGTCTTTGTTAAATCTGAATTTAGGATATCTATTTGACTTCTGGCTACAGAGCTAAACCTAAATGTTTCACTTTTTCAAAGATACATTTTTAAAGGTAATTTTGCTTTAGTTTGGAATTATTTATAAACTATTATTTCCTTTGCCAAATTGGTTTCCACAATCTGAACTTCCAAGTTCAACATTTATTTTATTAAATACAGTAGTATTTTAAAATTGAAAATAACTATTATAGTTCAAGCATGTTGTTCATTCTTCTTTGCAAACTTTATCCTAGTAATTATTATATCCATTGAATCTGTTATATTTCATGAATTTCTGAGTGTTTGCTTCTTTCTTGTCTACCTAGGGCTTTTTTTGCAAATTTTAATTGAAAGATTATAATAATTTCTCAAAGATCTAAGTTTATGAAGATGATTACCAACCTTTTTTAGCTTCTAAAGAATGATTCAACTAAATAAATACAAACTAGTTCAACATATATTGAAAACACATGAACTGATTTAATTTAATCATTTATTGTAACATGGGAGAAACTGGTTGTTCAAGTGGAGATTTAGACTTTAAAAGTATGTTGAGTTAATATTCCTATTTAATATTTGTCCTGGTCTAATTGCTAATATGATTAGTTAAAGAAAGAAACAATACACCAACAGAAAAGGAAGAAGCAAAATACATTAGTAGATGCTTATATATCTGGGTTTCCATGGAAAACAAATTGAAAAAAAAGCTATTGTAAACAAAACTTTTATATGTAATAGAAATTCTGTTAAAACAGTAAGGACATTCAATTATGTGTCATTATATAATTACTATACATAAGTAACCAGCTTGAAAATATGGAAGGAGTGACATAATGACAACAATACTTATATAGAAAATACACTGGAGTGAGCTTAAGAAGTATCACGTAAGATCTATATGAATAAAACTTTAAAATGCTACTCAAATACAGAAAAAAATTTAGTTAAATAGAAATAAGTAATCCTTTTTTTGGTTTGGAAGATTTAATATGAAACATGTCAACTTTATCTAAATGAATTTTGGAACTGAGTTTTTAATAAATTTCAATTACAAAGACAAGATTTTAACAACACAAATTAAGCCTACAATTTGTAAGAAAATTGAACGAGAGAGTGGGAGTTAGTGTACAAAGATAATACAATAAAAATATAAAGTGCAAAAAATGTAATAAAGTTCCAATCGTTAAAGCAATTTGTTATGTAATGTGACAGATTAATAGAATAATATTGAGAGTTCACAAATTAACTCACAAGTACCTGAAATAATAGTTAATGTGGTTAAGGTCATATTCAAGAAAAGCCAGGCACAGGGGTGTTACATTTCTGTAGTTGCAGCTTCTTATGAGGCTGAGGCAGGAGGATCACTTGAACCCAGGGGTTCAAGATCAGCCTGGGAAATGTAGCAAGACCCCATCTCAAAAAAAAAAGTGAAGATATATTGGTATGATACAATAAATAGTATCGGTACAAATGGTAGCTACTTGGGAAAAATGAAGTTGATAGTTGTATCTCATATTCAGATACATATTTGTTACAAATTTATAAATAAATTTGGTACAAAGTTATTTGTCACAAATATAGCACAGGGCTATTTCCTTTAGTATATAAATTTCTTTCATAATTCAATAAGGCCAATATGTGTATTAACATGAAACCTGAGCAGTCATTACTTAGAAAAGAAATATGCATGGATTTTGAAAATATGAAAAGTGACCCATAATTTCTTGATTATAAAGAAATGATAATAAATAGGAAATAACATTTTGTTAAGAAGATTGACAAAAATCTAAAACCTTGGAGCAGAAGTGTTTGTCATGCATGATGTGGGGAAACTATAGCTTGTGGCACTGGAAACTATGATCCCACTCAAGTAATTTTATTCAAGTAACAAATACATTAAATTTGCTAATTCAGTGTCTAGGAATTTACTCTTCAATAGACTCTCACATGGGCAAATATGTGGGTAAAATTTTTAAATTGCAACATTGTTTCAAATTGCATGATGTTAGAGTAAGTAAATGTTCATTGCCTAGGGCATGTTGCAAATAAGTAGTGATAATGGTACATAACGTATCTTGTATATGAGTATACATACCATATTTCCCTCCAAGTAAGACCAGGTCTTACATTAATTTTTGCTTCAAAAAACGCAATAGGGCTTTTCAGGGGAAATATTTTTTCATGTACAACAATCACATTTATTTGTGTACAACAATCTACATTTATTTACTTACTCATCTACAATGCACATTTGAACATAGTTCTGGAATTCAAAATTCTTTTGAGTTACTGAAAAGTGTTAATTTGAACTACCAGTAGGTGGCACATCCCTACCAATAAGTTCCTAAAGGCTCCCAAACAAGTTTTAAACAGCTTTTCAATTCCCTTGACTCACTGAATTTTATTTTAACTCTATCACATTGGTTTTTCTCAATGGGTACATTTTCTTAACTAGTTCTTTAATTTTATTCCTAGAGGAAATATTATGGACACTGTTTTGTGCTATATAAGGGTTTAGGTGGTTTTTCATTATAATTTCTCATTTAACATCATGATAACATTATAGTGGCAAAGATGCCTAAATATACAAAAGCTAGCTTAGATATTCTTAAAATACTTTGAAATTTCCAATGTTAATGTTTTACAAGCCTATATTTTTATCTTTTTCCCTAAAATAATAAATGATATTTATGGATTCTGTATACCAAAATATATGTGTGTTTGATATTATTTCACTGCATATATAACAAATTAATCAGTGCCCAGAACCAAAGTTAACTTTCTCAATGCTTATATAATATACAATGAAGTATTAGGCAAATGAGTACTGTGAAAGACACAAAGACAAAATATTATTTACAGCCTCTGTCTTCTTGGACTTTTTATTTTATACATAGAGACAATCATGAGCACAAATAACTACAATACAAGTCAGAGTGTAATAAATCATTAAATGAAAGCACTAAGTGTAGTGGAAGCAGAGAGCTGATATTAATTTTAGGACTCCAAATTAATTTGGCATTTGAGAAGGGCTTTAGATATCTAGTTTTATTCTCTGAAATAATTTAGTATAGGTATTATATAGATTTATTGTGTAAAGTGTGAATTATACACATGAGATAGAAGTATGATATACACAGAGGGTAAATATGAATTAATAGAATGAATATCCATATTCTTTTTATGATAAAGTTCTCATGGCAGGCATTCTATAAATTATAATATTTTAAAACGTATAAACCTTGGCAAGTTTTTCAAATTGGAAAAATTATGGGAAGGATAATTTTTATAGTCATTTTAATCTAAAGATTCTTTGATTCTGTATTTTAAGAAGTGAAATGAACATTTAGACAACATGCTGTATCCAAGTAGAATAATTCTTGATTTATTACTCCAAAAAAGTGTTATCAATTTTCATTTAATACTCATGAAACTTGATGATATATGTATTGTTAATATTCACACTTTACAGGTAAATTAAGGCACAGAAAGTTTAAAAAATGAATATGCCAATATGAATATGCCAATATCTGCCATAACAAAAAACTAAATGCAAATAAAATTAATTTCCTCATAGTAAACTTCTTTTTTCATTTTCTACTGTTTCAGTACTATTGCTATGTCACTTAAAAGGAAGTCAGTGTTATTCTAATAAAATGTATGAAACTGACTATGTTGTCATATTGAGAGTTTTAACGTTTTGTAACTTCCTAAGTAAAAGACAAATCATAATATAATTTTACCTTAGTTAAACAAGCATCTGACTCTTTTAGTTATTAACTTCACAAATTCCCATAATTTTGCTAAATTCTAAAATAATAAAACAGGTACTGAAGTCTAAGTAATACACAATAGTCCAGTTAGATTTAGTTCCAGCTGAATAGAGTTAAATCAAGTATAGATTTTAAAACAAAATTATATTTGTTAAAATATATCTTCTTTTTCTCTATTTATATAGCCAGGAAAATGTACAAATAAAAAGAAATGGTATAAAAGTGCCCTACAAGAAGCATATTTGCTCTATGGATATTCTCATGAAAAAAGACTGGAAATGTGCTACCTATCGAAACAGGGTATGTTTTTTTTTTTTACCATCCCCAAATAAGGATTTATTCAGATATATGTATTCTAAAATACATTTGTGAATGAAAAAAATCTCTATCTCTTTTCATAGGGAAATTCTGTATATATATCCATTAAAAAACATTTTTGCATAAATTAATAGCACTATTTTGTTCTTTGTGTAATGGCTAAACATATGCTCTGTTTAAATACAGGGATTATAATTAATACTTCTTATCTTTACTAAATGACTGCATAGCTCCTCCTCCTCTTGATCTTTCAGTAGCATATATATATATATATATATATATATTTCAAAATTAGATACTACAGCTTTAAATTATATTCCAGATGATAATTTCATTTGAATATGTTGTATTTTTTCAGAGCACAGTATTTTCAAAATGTTTTGTTTTTAAATAAATTCAAGGCATGAGAAAAGATAAGCTTAAACTTTTAAAATTAAGTAAAATTGTGATAACATTTTGGGTCATTTTCAAATAAAGTTCTCAAATCAAATGTTTTGATTTATAAATAGCTTCTTAAATCAATTCATCTGAAAGATTATAGTAGGTATAATACCTTTTTAACTCTAAAAGATTATGATTTTACATAAAAATGGTAATTTTCAATAAACTTAAATATGTTTTTTAATTTTTCTGATTAGTGAACCTAATTAATAAATTTTACAAGGCCCCTTCTTATTACCGTAAGTTCTTAAACAGAGTGCTCTCTGGGACAATCTGCCTTTGATGAGGACTAAATTTTAAAGTAGCACTAATATTTTCTCCTTTCTAAAGATTTAATGTATATTTTCAATAAATATATATATGTGAAAATATTGAACTTGAGAAAAAGTTTAAATATTACATGAGCCACCTAACCAGTTTGGGTGTAAAGCAAATAACCACATTTGTTAAGAGAGGAAAAAGAGTGACAAGTACACCACTCTGGTTTACTCTGAGACCAGGAGAAGAGACATTTATTACCACAAATGTGATTTTATTCCTTGTGCTGAAAATGTAATGTCTCTGTTTATTAGCAATAAAGGTTGAACTCACTCTCTTGTCATAAATACAATTTTATTCCTTGCACATACTGTATACAGGTTCCCTTGTTTAGCCATAATAGACTTTGAAACATTTCACTTTTAAAGCATTAATACCTTTAAATAATACAATCATTTAGTTTTTAACGTTATATCACATCTATTTCCCTCTAGAAGTGGACTTATTCTCTCAACCAGTACCCAATCATGTCTTGGCCAGTGTGCCAGGCTAGTGTGTCTTGTGTCCTTTGGCATTCTTCCCTATCCAGAGACCCTATGGAGGGCGTGTCTTCTGATTACTTTTACAATAATAGCTCATTTTCTTTGGTGATTTTTACATCTTTACATAATACAAGTAGTCAGGCTGATTCTTGAGAGCCATAAGCTTAAATACTTTCATTCTGTCCTTAAGACATGAACAGACTTCTCAGAGTTCAAAATTTGCCCTAATAAGTGTACAAAATTCATAGTTTCTATTCAATTATCTCTAAAATAGTTTAATCCTTGAGTCTGCTTTGCAATCATTGTGGATTCTGGTACAGAATTCAGCTTCTTACTATCTTCAAAAGTAGTTTTGAACTCAGGCACATTGGCATACACATGTAATCCCAGCTACTCTGGAGGCTGAGGCAGGAGGATTATAAATGAGACCAGTCTGAGAAACCTAGTAAGACCTTGTCTCTAAGTAAGTAAGTAAGTAAATAAAAGAAGGCTGGGGTATAGCTCAGTGTTCCTCCAGAGTTCAATCTCTGTTACTGGGAAGAGGAGGAAATAGTTTTGAAAAATAATTAGCCACTATTCAGATGATTCACAAAGATGATGGCTTAGGGGTAACATTTCTTTCATCCCATCAACTTTGAGGATTTCTTCACCTAACAATTTCTTACTACAAGTTGATTTCTACTAATATGTAGCCCATAGTCTTTCTACCCTGTGAAACTGGTATACTATTTATGTTTAATTAAGCTCTTTCATTACACAGGGTAATTAAATGATATACAAATAAAACTCAATCTGATTATAACAAATTTCAAAGTTCTCTGTTTTTGTTGTTTTAACTATTGTTTTGACTTATTAATTCATCTACTGGGGCTTAAAAGATTTTTATTATATAGGAACATCCAAAAATAAAAATGTATTTTTTGTTTGTTTTTGTATTTTTGGTACCGGGGGATCAAACTTGTGTCTTTATGCTTGTGAAGCAGGCAGCCGAACCACTGAGCTAAATCCCTGCCCCATAGAAATGTATTTTTTAAAATATAGGGTATTATCTATATAATCTATAATTTATTTTCATAGTTTTATGTTATTCATAAGAATATTTGTCTACATTTTATTTTTTTTCATTGTTTTAATTTGCAATTCCCTAATTATATGTGGTGCTTAATATCCTTTCATATGCTTAATTTCTCCCTTGATATTTTTTCTGGTGAAATGTCAATTCATATCTTTTGCCCATTTTTATGCCCATTTTTAATTGGTCTTTTTCCTTATTGTAGAGTTTTAAGAGTTCTTTGCATGTTTTGGATATGAGTCCTTTATCATATATGTGTCTTGCAAATATTTTTCAGTCTGTGCTGTGTCTTTTTATTCTCCTGATAGTGCTTTTGCAGAAGAGATGTGTTTAATTTTAATGAAGTTCAGTTTTTCATGTCTTTCATGGAGCAACCATTTGGTATTGTATTTAAGATGTCATTGCAATTCCCTCGGTCATCTAGATTTTCTCTATGTTATTGTAGTAGTCAGCTTACTGTCACTATAACAAAATACCTGAGGTAATTAACTTATAAATAGAAAAGATTAATTAGTTTTAGAATTTCTAGTCCATGGCTTTTAAGCCTCTGGTGGGATGCTGGATGGTAATGACAAGGAATACATGATACAGCAAACTACTCACCTCATGACCAAGAGCAAAAGAAAAGAGCTAGGGCCCCCAATCCACTTTGAAGGCATGTCCCCAATTCTCTGAAGACCTTCCACAAAGCAGGGCCTCCTAATGGATCTATAGTCTTCCAAAAACACCACCCTGAGGATAAATTCTCTAACACAGGAACTACAAAGATCCAAACTATAGCATCTATCTTCTACAAGTTTTATAGTTTTGCATTTTATGTTTGGCCATATGCTGTCTTGTGAGTTTGTTTTCATAAAGGCTGTAAGGTTCTTGTCTAGATTCCTTTTTCTGTGTGTGTGCAAATCTCTAGTTGTTCCAGCATCATTTCTTGAAAAGATTGTATTTTTGCTACATTGTTCCTTTGTCAAAAATCTGTATATGGCTGTATTTCTGGGCTTCCTATTCTGTCTTATTGATCTATTTGTCTATTTGTTTACCAGTACCACTCTTTTGATTGCTTTAGTTTTATGGTAAGTCTTAATGTTGGCTAAGGTCAATTCTCCAACTTTATTATTCTTCAAAATTGAGTTGGTCCTTCTGGGCTTTTTTCCTTTCCATATAAACTTTAGAATTAACTTGCTTTTATCTACAGAATGCTGAAATTTTGATTAGAATTGCATCAAATCTATAGATTCAGTTGGTAAGAACTAGATCACAATAATGAGTCTAGCTATTCATTAACATAAATGTCTCCATATTTATTAATTTTATAACTTCTTTCATCATAATTTTACATTTGTATTTAGATCTTTTTTGCATAAACTTTGTTACATTCATGCCTAAGTATTTTATTTTGGGGGTGCTAATGTAAATGATAATGTGTTTTCAAATTCCTGTTGTTCATGGCTGGTGTGTAGGAAAGCTACCGACTTTTTCATATTAACTATACCTGATGACCTTGTGGTAACCACTTATTTCAGGAATTTTTTTGTTTTGATTTTTCTTTTTGTCAATTCTTTTGGATTTTCTACATAGATATTTGTCATCTGTGAACAAACAAATATTATTTCTTCCTTCTAAAACTTTATACCTTTTATCTTTTTTCTTGACTTTTTTTTTTTTTTGGTACCGGAGATTGAACTCAGGTCCTTGCGCTTGCGAGGCAGGCGGCAGAACCACTGAGCTAAATCCCCGGCCCCTTTTCTTGACTTATTGCATTAGCTAAGAATTCCAGCACAATGTTGAAATGAGTGAATAGAAGGAATGTCCTTTAATAGTTTGGGATTTTACCAAGAAATCTTCTAGTTTATCACCATTAAATATGAAGCTGTCTTTAGACTATTTTTAGATGTTTTTCATAAAATTGAATAAGTTGTGAACTTTTCCTAGTTTGCTGAGAGTTTTTATCATGAGTAGATGTTGGATTTGTCAGTGCTTTTTCTGTCTATTGATATGATAATGTGATTTTTTTTTTCTTCTTTGGCCGTTTTTTGATATTATGGAGGTGTTAGCCTCATTGACCAGTTGAAGAAATATTTCTGTTTCTATCTTCTGGAAGAGTTTGTATAGAATTTTATATTTTTTTCTTAAATGCTTGGTAGACTTCAATAATAAACTCATCTGAGTATAGCGCTTTTTGTTTTGGTAGGTTATTACACTGACTTAATTTCTTTAACAGATATAAGTCCATTCAGATTGTTTCTTCTTGTGAGAGTTGGGCAGAGTATATATTTCAGAAAATTAGTCCATTTCATCTATGTTATCAAATTTATCAGCATAGAATTATTCATAATACTACTTTAATATTTTATATCTTTTAATGACCAAAGGATCTGTAATGATCTCCTTTTTATTTCTGATATGAGTAATTTATTTCCTTTTTTCTTTTTCTTTCTGTATTCATTTTTCCTGCTTACTTGCTTGCTTTTCCTTCCTTCCTTTCTTTCTTTTTCTTTTTTTCTGTCCATTTTTCTTCCTTTCCCTTTCTTTTCTTCCTCTTTCTTTCTTTCTCTTTTCTGTTTTTAGTTAGCTTCATCAAATTCTTGTCAGTTATATTGATCTTTCAAAGAACGAGCTGCTTATGGTTTTATTGATTTTCTCTGCTCATTGTCTTCAGTTTAATTGATTTC